CGGTGCTATAACCAAGTTTGCTGTGACCTCAATATTTCAACAAAGAACGATCTGTTTTCGGTGAAACTTCCAGGATATTCTAGTGTCTATGAGATCTATTTACTGACAAAGTTTCACGCCAAAATTCGTTAGTTCAGTTTTTTCGACAAGCACGGTCCCAAGGTAAAATAGCCAGTAAAATTACCATAACTCCATAACAACAGGGCATAGGCCCGAGTTATTGTGTTATTGTGCGGGAGTCGTCTTATTGTATTCAGAATTGTATGCTCTGTCAGGCTATATTGTTTGTAAAATTTTCTGACCAAAAACCATGGATCTGGTTTTCTAGCGGTCAGGTTTTCCAGAAACCCTATTATCAAAATTTCTCATGGAACGTCGATGTCCACCTCATCTGATAGAAAAATCTTCGGTCTATTCAATAGAGAATTCAGATTGACTCCAGCTTTTACTAAAAGATCTGAAACAAAGAAGTTTTTTGTGATTATCACACACCGTACTACATAGATAACACCCAAACGCCTCTTTTCCATATCTTTAATGACTGACTCCACCTGTCTGGATATTTTGACCCGCTCACGTGGTAGAGAAGTTCAAGGGCTATCCAATGGTATGTCTTTGAAATATAAATAATTTTTCATTATGACAGAAAAATAAGTAAAGGAGTGTTTAAAGCACTACGGTAGGTGAAAAGCAGCATATCGGCCAAGTATTTCGATTATTGACCCATGTAGACATATTCTTGAAAGCCATATTTACAGCTCATTTTGAAGCCCGTGAAATTCTCTATTGAACAATACATAAAGTAGAGTGATTAACTGGAAAATTAGTCATTATTATAGACATGAACGATGTTGACCTTACGGTTTGCTGGAATGCTACCGAGTAGTTTGGATCTTAGACTACCTAGATGATGAAGGAGGTAGAATAATGTAAATACTTTGAGGAAAGGTCACTTAACACGAGAAGAGTCTTTTCAATGCGAATCAGTTTTGAGTATGAAGCGTCCCTTTAGATAAATTTTGGAATAGTGCATTTTATAGAGCGGACTCGCACACAGTTTCTGGCAAAGTTTGGCTTTTGTTCACCTCTCTAATATGTTTTTTTGTTTTTTGTTTTTAATAGAATAAATAATTTGAATAAATGATTTTTATTAAATAAATGAATGTATTGACAATAAATGTAAGCGACGCGTTTCTAATATTTCTTCAGGCTATGCCTATCCTCTTCGATGTTACCCTATTTATCTACTTCCATTCTCTCATCTCTCCTCTCTCTCGTCTAGTTTCAGTCGAAGGTTTCATAAGTGGCCTCCAGCTAAAATAGCTGGAGTGGTCCGGATTACCGCGACTTCGTTTTGCTCGTGAAAAAAGTGGTCGACAGAGGTGTCAGTGCTACAATTGCAGTATTTCAATGGCTCATTCGTTCACCGAGATACTTTCAGGTCCCATAATGGGCATCACGGGCAATCGAACGGTGGTTTTTTTCATTCAGGCATGAGAAAAAAATGAGTTGTGCGATGGGAAAGATGAGGGAAAAGATCCTTGCTATTTTCAAGGAGGTGACCCGAATTACCCCGACCACTCTTGCTTACTGATCTGACTTACCCCATATATGGTAATTCAGATTAGTTTGATGGAGCTTCACCATTTTCATCATAACTTATTCTGAGTACATCCTTTTTAGGAGATTCTTTCGCCATTCGATAGAACACACATAGATGTAGTTGTGCTAAAAACACCAGCTGTTCATCGTGTGAAATGACGGAGAATGAAAGGAAAAAAAACCGAATATTTTATTTTTGATCCAAAGTCCCCCACCTGTCGCTGTATACTCTATATCGAAGATAAGATTTATTTATTTTTTCATCTATAATGATAAAATTGATGATTTGTTGAAAATAATTCTAAAACGAGAATCCTTCGAATTGAACGGAAAAGCATTAATCCGTTGCAGATATTTTGATAAAATAATCCTTGCATAACTTGATTAGAATAATATGTGTTCCAAAGGAAACGTTCCAATGTTTTGTTTTCTCCAGAGGATGTATTATATATAGTTTCATCCGAGAAAATAGATGGAAGAGAAAGATGCAAGTTGTCTCAATGTCTATCATATCTGCAGATGCGTATTATTTCTTTGACTTCAATATCGATCATAGAAATGTCAATAGATTACAAAAACGATTTCCTATCATTCATATATTTTGTTACATAAAATATGAATTCAGATAAATATTTCTTTACATCTCAATCGTTGCATTGCTATTCGATGTTTTCATAGTCGAAAACAGTAAGTTTTATCAATAATATTGATAGTTGATGAGGATCGTTGAAATGTTATGAAAAACTTAGATACGTTTCTTCATACGTATATGTGGTGAACCACCTTTTTCAAAAACTGTTCCAAGTTCTTCATATCCTACTCGTGCATAAAAAGTTCGAGCTGTACAGCGTGAATCAAGCTCAATTTGTTTCACTCCCAATTGACGTACATGTTTTTCTAAAGCTTGTACTAACTTTCGTCCGATACCTTTGCCTTGTATTTTGTTGTGGACGGCCATTTGACGAAGTTGAACTGTTTCGGAGCAAATATTTTCGAATTCAACCACACCAAGTACTTCATCGTCATCAAGATAAACAAAATAAGTGATCCGTTTGTCATTCTCCAATTCAGCTGTGGCCAAAGGCCTTTCCAATGAACCACGAAAGACAACGTGACGCAATGCAACTATTTTTGGATAGAATTCGCTCTCATATGTGACTGTAACGATGTTTGCCATCAGGACTGTTTCTTTCCTTTTCTAGAACTGGAAAATCTCCATAGAATTTCTTCACAATGGTTACTTTTTAAAACTGCGTGAATCGAAAAATAAAAGATAAAGTATTTTGAAGTAGACTAGAAGAGAACAACATAAGAGATGCAATCTCTTTCTTTTCTTCTATGAGAAGAAGAAAAGCCAAAGTGCAACTCTTATGAAAACAAATATAAAGAGAATATTCTCGGAACTAACAAAACAGAACTAAACAAGAATAGATATCGATTTATCGAAGGAAGGCGATACAATGAATGAATGTACAATAAAAATGAGTATCTAAACATTCTATTCTATCTGATACAGAATTGGAGAAATGAAGAGTTATGTTCCATCCGTAAGAACAACTTTAATAGAAAGAAGAATGATTTTAAAAACTTTGATATTTTGTTTGGTTTGATGAGGATTTTGAATACTGGGATGAATTTGTTTCTATCGATTTCTATTGAATATAATTATTCCATAAAAATGAATTGTGGTACTTGCTCAAGACCATAATACAATCAACGATATAATAAATACTTCAAGAAAAGAATTCGATGTGTAGAAGGAACTTTTAAAGAACGAATTTAAGAGAAAAAGAATATTGATTTCATTTCGATTATTTTCAATGATGAATAGAATTTCAATGAGAAGTTTAATCTCATATACAAATAAAGCAACATAGTAACTACATCTTTGAAGATTAGAAATAGATCGACATTCGAGTTTTCGATGTGGTATAACAACTATTGATGAATAAACATTTCTAATGATCAGTGAAAATACTGAATAAACAATATCGGATTTCGTCAATAAACTTTGACTAATATCCATTCTTTAATTCTATTTGTTAGATGAGATATTATATCCAAATGAACTGGAGAACTATTTTCATTTTTGTCTTTATAATGACGATCAATTTGAAATGGAAATTCAAAGTCATCTTTAACATTCTATTGAACTCTTCCTTTACTTATCAGATTCTATATTCAATAGAGCAATCATTACTATCATAGTCTGACATGACTTGCGTCTGATAAGTGTCGTATAATAATAATAATAATAATTGCGTTCGTTCTCTATCAGCTTTCTATAGTCAGTCAGCTAATAGCTAATACACCTGGCTATTTCTTGCTAATCGAGTGTCGTATAGACGGAGACATTTGATTTTCGAATCTAGCCTAAACATATTCTAATGATGAAGATGAGAAAATGAACGATTAATTATTCGATTTTAAAAGTCTCATTCAGATTTGTAAAGAAACAATTATTTACTTTAGATTCAATCTTTGAATAGAAGAGGAGAATTGAACAAACATCCTTCCCATTAGGTGACATAAAGACCAAATCTTTTTTTCAAAAACTAACTTTCTAACCATTATTTGTTGTTAGAAATATTGGTGATTTAAGTTGGATAGAAAAACGATTTCGATGAAGTTTTTCCATAAAAGAATTAGTTTAAACTAATGATTATTATTATCACCAACAACAATAATCAATTAAGTTCTCTTGTAAATTAATCACAAGTAACGCTCGTGCGCCTCTACTACTCGCTTGACCCTCGACAGAATTCGATCTGACCTATGTCTGCTTCTTTCGCTTACACTTTGTACTGAAATTTTACTCACTTCTTCAAGGAATAAACCCTGTTTTATATCCATATTAAAGAGTGTCACTAGTCACAAATTTCAAACTCACCTTCAAAATGTTGGCGTCACACTACTATATCAGAAAAAACTCTGTGCTAGTCTAAAATTTGGTTTCTTACAGTAAACATATAAACTGTCTCAATAACTGTATAGTTAGTGTATTGTTAAAACGGCATGCATATTTATTTGATAAAACTAGTTTCATGAGATCCTGAAAACGATAACGTATCGATCATGAAATCTCGTTTATTTCACTTACTATAAGTCTCTAAAATGAACGCCTGGTCGTTTGTCGGCCTCCCTACGGTCGGCCACTCACGACTAGCCGTTTTTATTTATGATTAATTCCTCTTTTGTCTTAGAAAATGGCATCCTGCGGGATTTATTCTCTAAGGAGTCTCGTTTCCACCTTAGGTTTGTGATTGCTAATGGCATCCTGCGGGATTTATTCTCTAAGGAGTCTCGTTTCCACCTTAGGTTTGTGATTGCTAATCAAAGTTCACCAATTTTGCTCAAGAATTGTACTGATGGTTTTCGTTTCCACTTGAAGAATAGAAGCATACGAATATCCAACGGTTCACAATTGATTGATTCAAGGTTCATTTCACAACTATGCCTAGCAACAGCGACGAATACTCTATGAAAGGAAGGTTAGGAGAATGATGAGATCGTGCATTTTATACATGCCATGCATCTTTGCTAGCGCTTGGGTCGCGATGCTGATGAAAGATGAAGTTTACACTGCAAATTCACTCAGAAATGTTTGGAAATCGAAAGCAAAAAGTCACGCGTAGTCTGCTATATTAAATGAAATTTCTGCTTCACAGCCGAGTGCACTGGGTATTGGCGGTCAGTACGGCCGGACAGCTAACTTGTTTGAAGCGCCTGGTTGGGTTGTCAGCATTCATGAACCAGTCGAAACGCCAATAGCAACCAGCTTGAATAGCAACCGGTAGATTGGCGCAGTCCGATCGCTGACTCACACCGCCAAAAGTTAAACCTATGTTCTTATCTACCTTACCTAACTCAACTAGATACTTATTCATTTCTACCTTACTCTTTCTCGTTGTCAAAAAAATGTCATCTCGAAATCTAAAATATAATTCATCTTCTAACTCCTGCGCTACCTTAAACTGTCTCTCCCACTTCCTCATATATACATCAGCTAAAACCTGCGTACACTCTGACCCCATGGGTCCTCCTCTAATCTGTTTAAAAAACTTAATCTCCTCACCTGGTAACTGTAAAACAAAAAAAGCGTTTTCTAAAACATGTTTAAAAAGAGTGCGCATTGTATTAATCGGTATTTCACCGTTTACTTTAAAAATCTTATTCTCACCTAACATCTCGCAAATGGCTAAAATTGAATCTTGTTGCGGTATCATCGTATATAAATCGGTGATATCAAAAGTATATAAAAGAGTCTCGTCTGTTGTTTTAAACTTTCTTAGATGTTTCAAAAGTTCTATACTATTACTCAAACTATGTGGGGTAAGCTGATCAAAAATGGGTCTTATAATTTGGTCTAGAAAAGTCGATATTTTTTGAGTTGGTGATTTTATTCCTGAAACAATGGGCCGAAGAGGTTCCCCTACCTTATGATCTTTTGGATTATAATAAAGATGTGGTAATTCGGCTTCTTCTCTATTCGGTTTTAATTTATCAAAATACTTACCTGGCAACAAGTTCTTGTTTACTAAATTCCTTAACAACTGTTCTGTACTATCTATAATTTCCAAGGGGGAAACAACCTTTTGTGAGTTCATGATTTAAAATGAGTTCATGTGATTTAAATGATCTAAAATGAGTTCAGATCAAAGAATAAAAAACTGATTTTTGATGCTAAAAATCATCAAAAATCATCAGAAACCACCAGAAACTACCAGAAAGCACCAGAAACTACAAGAATCCACCAAAAATCGCCAGAAATAAAAAAATCATTAGAAATCGATAGAAATCACTAGAACTCAAGGAATCACTTTTCCCCCTTGAATACTTGCGTGAATCTGGTTTGCCACGATTCTGCACTGAGTTCTAATGAGTTCCACTGACTCTAGACGTTTTCTCGTCAGCCTCGAAATGATGCTACTAGTTTTCAGAAAATTTGTACGGATTTTGCTGATTTTTCGTGATTTAGATGAGTTCGAGTGATTTATGTGATTTATTTTTGAGTTCAGAGTGATCTAAATCAGTTGTTTCCCCCCTGACCGTGGGTCATTTCCAACGAAAACTTGCATGGTTAAGTTGTTGTCTGGAAGACATGCAGATATGAGGAGGAGGAGGATTGTGAGAATACACCTAATAACTTTGAGCCAGTCTAACTTGAAAAAATAGATACATAGGAAGTTTAGCGGTATTGACGTTTTGTCTATGATGATTCTGTGACTTGCAGAGGAGTACTGTGTTCGTAGAGGCTTTGGAAGGATCGAAAGACTTGAAAATCTTTTATCACTTTTTATTGAAAGTAAATGTGAACGAATTTGGAGATGGTGATGTAGTTCACACCAACAAAGAATGGAAACGCCATCAATGGATCGGAATTCGTGCATTGATTTTATGCCTTGAATCGTTCCTGAACAGAAATGATCAAGACATTGCATAAACAATTGGGTCTCTTACCTGACACGTTAAACCATTCATTTCTTCTGTTGAGGATCACTTGTTTGGTTTCCTCTATAGTTTCTGCAGTAGAAATGAGCAAGTTCTTTTTTAAAGTGACACGTCGAGTGCTTGATTTCAGCACTGCACCCAAGTCGTCACCGGCGCCTTTTCCATGTCCCGTGGCGGTGAACGTCCAGCAAGCATCTAAACCAAAATCAATCTTGTGATGGACGAGATTAAGGATGTTGAAATTATTCTTAAACTGACCACTGAATCCATCGCCTCGATGAAAGCACCCGTTAGATGTCCGATGACTCCTTTATTTTCTAATTTCAGAGTAACGTCTTAGAAGAAAATCTTATTGATGTCTCAGAACACTTCCATTGCGGACTAAATATCTCTTGAAAACATCCAGCATCTGCACTAAGCTTTTTCAACTGTTCCTCTCTGATGTTGATCGTGACACGCGAAGTTTACATTCTCATACGATCAATCTAATGTCGCATAATCTCAGAAGAGAAGACTCCTTGCCTGAGATAACTAATTTTTTTCACCGAAGGATGGTTTGCTTTGAGAAATTGGACAAATAACTTTTGAGCACAGTAAACAAAGGCAGTCGAATGATCCATGTGGTCGCTTGGTTTTAACTAAAAAAAGCCCCGCTGCACCTCACGCTGTCGCAGGAGTGTGTAGTTCATGGAAAAGTCCAGTTGTGCAACGACGAATATTTTTGGA